TTTTTTTTTTTTTTTGGGTACTGGGGAAAGATCTTGGGACCTTGCACTTGTGAGGCAGGCAGCAGCACCACAGAGCTAAAACCCCAGCCTATATTAGAAAGTTTTATATGTGCTAAGATATATAATCACATTCCTTTTTTAAAAAAGAAATTTATGATGGAAGGAAAGGAAAGGAATAAATATGAGAAAAAGAAAAAACAGAAACAAAGTGTTTGTAAATAGGGATGGAGGGGTTGAAGGGAGAGCAGGGGAATGGGGAAAAAATAGGAACCAAGATACGTCATGTACAGGTACAAATTCCCAATGATGGTTGTATACCTAAATCATAGCAATAAAATTAATGAATTTAAAAAAAGAAATTTATTGCACAGAAGATTGGATGCTTATGTGTATCTGTGAATTGGGGATATTTGCTTGGGGGAAAGAAAGGATGTCAGAAGGTCAGCTCTAGGTTTGTTATTAAACTTATTGTATTCCCAAAGGAGGTCATTCTTTTATAAGTAAACCATGTTTTCCAGGTTACTCCATGCAAAGGGAAGGGCAAAATAGAGTAATAAAATTGAGTTTTTAAAAAGAAAGATTTATCTAGCTCTTCCAGTCACCTACTTTGCACGGACATTGTCTCTTCCTGACAGCCCTGCTTAAAATCGTGGTGTTTGTAACATGCCTCTGCCATCACCTTGATTTGCCTTGCACAGCGTCTATCTGAAGTCCAGTGAAGGCTCCAGCACTGCTAGTGCAGGCAGTGACTGCACTGATGGTGCTCTGCCACACAGATGGGGTGAGACTCATATTTATGCCAAGGGTTCTTTCTACTGCCAACACAGCAGTTCAGCATCCATCAATACAAAAGATTGTCACCAGTGCTGCTCCTTCTCTTCTGTATGGCTCTTTTATCCTCTATTAATTTTTCATCCCAAATAAATTTCCTTAGTCTTTTTTCTAGGGTTTGAAAATATCTCATTCTTGCCTATATTCTAGAGTAGAGGAGGTCTTAGAAGCAAGCATGGGTCTGAAAAAAAAATGTTAGGACAATTGTGTTATTCTTCTTTGAAAAAGCCAGTGACAGATGGGGGAGAAAAATAATTTGGTTTGCATTTCTTCATATAGATGATGGTATGAAAAAAATGCAAAAAGAAAAAAAAAGGTACAAGATCCCAATGATGAATGTAACTGTATTGTGTACCTAAATTGTACCAATAAACTTAATAAAAATAAAAAAGATAATATATGGATTCTCTCACTTAAAAATCATTTTAAACATATTTTTTGGCTGAGTTTATTGGTACTTTTTCTTGTGGCGGGGGTACCAGGGATTGAACTCAGGTCCTTGAGCTTGCGAGGCAGGCCACTGAACTGCTGAGCTAAATCCCCAGCCCTATTGGTACTTTTAAAATATACAGTACAGCCACATTCATCATTGGGATCTTGTACTTTTACATGTCAGATCTTGGTTCTCATTTTTTCCCATAACCCTGCCCTCCCTTCACCCCCTTGACCCTCTCATACTTACAAAGACGTTATTTCCATTTTCCCTTTCTCATATTTTTCCTTTTTCCTTATTTCCTTTCCCCTACCCTTCCCACTTCCCATACACCTTTATAACTTTTCTTCCTATTTCACACTATCAGTTATACAATTTATTTTTTTCTTTATTGAGTTTATTGGTACTTTTTAAGTATATACTACAATTACATTCATCATTGGGATCTTGTACTTTTACATGACAGATCTTGGTTCTCATTTTTTCTTTTCCCCATAGCCCTGCCCTCCCTTCAACCTCTCCACCCTCCCTTATTTACAAAGACTTTGTTTCCATTTTCTTCTTTCCTCACATTTTTCTTTTCCCTTATTTATTTCCTTAACACTGCCCTTCCCACTTCCCTCCACTTTTAGCCCTTTTCTTCCTATTTCACATTATCTTCCTATTTCAATATACAATTAAGATATTATTTGCATTTTTAGTTTTTCACACCAGAGAAACAATTCAATATTTACACATGTATGTCTTATTTATTTCACTTAAGATTATGGCCTTAATATGCATCCATTTTTCTATGAATGACTCTAGTTTCTCATTCTTAATGACTAAGTAGTATTTTATTTCACAGAAAAACCACATCTTCTTTACCCAGTCTCCAATTGATGGGCAACTGAGCTGTTTGCAA